CTTTCAGTGATACAGGAGACAGCACCTTTAATTAGTCGAGTTAACAGAGAAACCAAACACACAATTTGGCCTGGAACGGCGCGGCGCAGAGAGCAATGATGACGAGGACTCGAGATGAAAAGAAGAAGGCATCGTCGGCATGTAACACATATCAGCGGCTACAAGACCGCACGAATACTTCACGCATTGCATTAAACACAGTGCGGTCATTGCGGTCAGCGTAAAACGGATAGCGCCTACAAGAATGCATGAATACTTCACGCATTGCGCCAAACACAGTGCGGTCTGCGTGAAACGCAAGGCGCCTACAAGACTGCGTGAATACTTCACGCATTGCGCCAAACACGGTGCGGTCTGCGCGGCGCGGCGGCGGAAGTTAAAATCATTAAACCACACTCACGTTTGTTCTTTCATGATTATTTTGTTCATTTCTTATGAATGGAAGGCCTTGTCCACACAGAGAGTGTTGACAGGGCATCCCCAAAAATGTGTTCAACACGAGTAAACGCGTCTTATGCACCCCTCCCCCGCTGGCACGTTCACTTGATGGTTTGTATTGATGTTTCAATGCGAATGAGAAGGGGGCGGCAAAATACAGGCGGCCCATAGGCGGCAAGTAGGTAAATCCGGCCCTGGAAGGAAGCCACCTTTTTTTGTGAAATTGCCACAAATCATCCGAAAGACTACTATAAATCGTTTGGATGATTATATAATCATTAATGTAGACAAATTTTATACCCCATTTGAAATAGATGGGCAGTTAACAAATCGAATAGCATTGATTTTGAACGCGCCTTCAATTAGGAGTGATACTTTGCCATACACGAAGGTTAAAAAGTGATATCACCAATTGAACCACATTCTTCCCTTGATTTCCTGATTCAGTTAGGTCATCTTATGAATGAGCCAGGGTCTGAAAAAGTTGGTTTCTCTATCTGCGTAATGTCTGGTCAAGCATGAGTCAGAATAACGTCGAAAATGAATCACTGCGAGGAATGCCAATAATATGCTACCGTATAAAATACAAAACATGCTAAAATGTTGACAAACTTTAAAATTAGGCCTGGGCCTTCCGTAATATTTGCAGACCTCTCAATAATTTATTCCTCTACAGTTAGTAATTATTACAGCGGCAATTTTTTTTCACTCAATTGAAGAATCCAATTTCAAATTTATAGCCTTGAATTTTACTTCTTTGGAAAAATTGTCTTTTTTATGACGCAGGGTTGAAGGTTTCCTTAAGCCGCTCCCAATCACAATGTAAACCAAATGCGGCCCTCGTAGGGAAAGGGTCTGTTCAAGGAGCGATGTGTGAATATGAACCAAAGCTCAAGCCAGGAAAGTTCCCAGCTCTGCCATGTTACGGAAGAACGCCGTATGAACATTCGAGAGTTGCAAAATTTCCTTTGATAAAACATATATTTTTGACGCAATTCAAGCGTATTTTCCCTCAAAAGTTTCAGTCATTTCAGATTATACATTGCGTGCAAAATTGTCTGAAAATTTTGGAAAAAATTATTTAAAATTTTCACATTGAAGTCTGTTTTTATCGAAGGCAATTTGGTTACGCCTGAAGGCACTTACGGCGTTCTTCCTCAGCACGGCAGCGGCAGTGCTGGAGCCTGGAAAGGAGAATCCGGCACACAATGCAAATCAAGAGGTAAACACATGGATTATGAAAATAAAAATGAGCGTTTAGTTTTCAGGGGGTGGAATTTATCTCGCAGCGATGACGCGATGAGAAGGGACGGTGGTGGAGGAAGGGGGTGGATCGGGTGGGTGCATGGCACATTATCCGCGCGCCGATCTAGGTTCCAGACTCCTCGTGAATACTGTACAAAAATTACACGCTTGGTCACGTACACGGAACAAATCACGCAAGTTCGGGGCGCCATCTGAAGGGAAAAACTTGCCGCTCTGGCCTCCGGATCGTGCGAGCGCCGACTGTGCAGAGTCCCGATGATTCGTAGCCTACAGTCAGGAGCACCTGTTGTCGCTCCGCCATCCCTGGTGACGACACCAGTGTCACAGCACGCGCTCCCCGTCCGAAAAACTCCCGACACCCTAAACTGTCCCCCTGATGAATCCCCTTCTCACGCTATGATTCACCTCACTTCACTGCTGCCGTTTCCCGGAACTAGTTCCCAATTCCGGAACTTTTGAAATTTTCCTGAATTTTTCCCGGAACTTTTGAAATTCCTGAAATGTTCCGGAGCTCTTGAAACTCCTGAAATATTCCGGAACTCTTGAAATTCCTGAAATATTCCGGAACCCTTGAAATTCCTGAAATTTTCCGGAACTTTTGAAATTCCTGAAATGTACCAGACCCTTTGAATTTTCCGGAACGTTTGAAAAAATGTAAAAGGAATCCCGGAACTTTATAATCATAACAGTAACGCATGAAGCATGACACATAAGCGCGAAGCGCTTTGAGGGTTGGACCGCGAAGCGGTCAGGAGACGTAGCCCTAAGTTACTCTAAGTAAAGGGGGGGGATTAAATATTTGAACACCCCCCCCCCATTCCACTGCTAAGGTGCCGCTTGCCTCCCCAGGATACTCTTTTTTGCAATAGAGACATTCCCAAAGTTTTATTCGTGCAGTTTTAACCGTTTAAAAGTCTGCTGGGATGAAAGGGCTATTGGAAGGAGAGTCCGAATGGGAATGGGCAAGCGGCTTTGGATATAGGTGCAAAAAAGATCGGATAAACTGTTCTCGCTTCTATTTAGTTTGTCTCCCTCCCATTTGCTTCCTTCTTTTTTTCCCAAAGGAGTTCCCGCTTCCCGCAGCGCTGCACGCACAAAAATCGCCTTCAAAACATTTGCATGCAACCCCTCGACCCGAGAGTTCGAATAGTTATCGCTCAGGCCCCTGAGGCATTGCGATGAGTTCTAGAGCTCGTGTCCCTCTCGAATTACTATGAAATAGAAAATATTGGTAGTAGTATTTCAATGACTGTATTCAGTCATCAAGTATTACAAATAAACATATATTTTAGAATTTTGTCTCGTCGTCAAAAGATTGCATTTCCTGTATAAAAAGTTAGAGTTACTAGTCGATCCCTCAATCTGTATTTACATTATTTACAGCTTACGGGCACTCTTGACGGAGACCGACATTTGACAAAAATTCCTGATGTATACGATGCAAAAATACTTTTAAATACTGCAGCGTTAATAATAGCTAATGAAACTGTAATTGTAAATAGCTGGTTTGCATTACAGAATAGGACATCGACGGTGAACCTCCTAAAACACAAATCTAATTCACGGTGTTTGAAAATTTAATTTTTCTTAAAGGAGACACAAATTAACATCATTCTTTGAAGTTTTCACAGAATTTTCTTCGCACGGGGAGGAAATATCGCGGAAGTTTTTAAGCATTGACGTTGAGTACTATTAAATACAAAAAAATTTAACAAGAAGTCTGCAACGTCGCAAACCAAGATAGATGATTCGGAAGTTTTCCCATCGATATTTATCACATAAATACGCTTTAAAGTACCTATCAAAAAATCACAATTTCATATCAGTTTAAAAACTACAAATACTCTATAAATAAGCATATTATACTGCCGTGCTAGAACACCGTATGAGCCTTCAGGCGTTGCCGAATCTCCTTCGGCGAATCACGAAAATTTGTTAATATTTTCCTCCGATTTTACAGAATTTTGTTCGTGATTTGATCTAAAGTGTCTGATAATTTCAAGAAAAAAATATTCATACACTTTATCAATAAAGAATATTTGCCGAGAGAAAATTTGGCAACATTCGAATGCTCATACGACGTTATACCTTATTAGCACGGCAGTACAGTTAGATGTAAGTGAAGCCGCGAGAGAAACGAAGCCACCTGGACGAGTGACATTGGTAACCTAGACTCGTAACTTTGCGGAGCATGTCATCTCAATTGGACGTATTTCTGCCTAACGGAACTATGTGGATCAAGACATGAGCCCTGAGACCCATAAGAATATATGCATAACAGAGCTCATGTCATAATGCACATAGTTCTGTTTGGAAGAAATATGTACAATTTTAACGACCGCGGAGAACGAGGAGGCTTTCTTCGCATGTATTTATACTTTATTTTAATGAGTTTTGCAACTAGGCCAAAATCAAGAGGGCCTATTCTCCCGTGCTAAGGAAGAACGCCGTATGAACATTCGAGAGTTGCCAAATTTTCCTTCCTAAATCATGTATTTTGGACGCCACTTACTCATATTTTTCCCTGAAATTTGCAGTTATTCCAGATTAAATTACGTACAAAATTTTCTGAAAATTTTGGGGAAAAATATCTACAAATTTCCCTGTAAATTCTATTTTTATCGAGGGAAATTCGGCATCATCTGAAGGCTCATACGGCGTTCTTCCTTAGCACAACAGTATTCACCATCCTCAGCAACGGTTTATTTCAAGCATTGTCTTACTGACCTATTGGGAGGGGAAGAAGGGAAGGTATCATAACTAGATGGTGTTAATAGCCAAGCGCGCGGTTTTTTGATTTACCAGATGAATTGGGTAAACTTGGGGAACGTAAATAAGTTATTCTCGGATGCGGTGCGGAAGTGGGGGTCTCGGCCACAAGAAGTCGGGCTTAAAATAGTGCCGCGGGCCCGTTCACACGTTTTCGTAACGACTCTGCAAGACCCTCCGCATCCCAACAGTAGTTCCCAACGGAGTTTCTGTAAACTCGCGCGTTTTTTATTGTCGCATCTTTTATTGTTTTTATTCTTTCATTTTTTCCTTCGTTTGGAATTTTCGCGAAAGTTTTTTGTTTAATAGAGTCCACCATATTTCTGAAAAATTCAGTCATTCGAATTTTAAAATTTTCCACAGAAAGCAATAGCTTGCTGAAAGTTAAAAATAAAATATACAAATTGATAAATAAATAATTTCCAAATCTGAATTGTTACTCTGAATGTGGTGGTCTGGAGAATAGTGAGCTTTGCTAGATTTATAGTAGATAATTGCTTTCCTATGCATGGACTTTTCTGACGATCTTTCCCATAAAAAAAAATATTAGTGCGGTACGAAAGTCTAATATCGCATATGATAGCACAGAAAATGTTGGTTCGATAAGTGACTCAAATTTGTGATTGTTTTTACAAACATTACAACTCGTTGGTGTTTAAAATATCAGAGAGACTAAGATTATACGATGTGCTTTGTATACCGGGAGAGTTCTTAGTTTAAATCTAAAAACGATAATGGCGAGGTGAAGCTTACGTAACAGATTCCTAGGTGTGTGAAATCATACCCTGATGTCACGCACGAATGATGAGGTGAGTGGATTGGATATCCTCCACTGTTTGATAGAATTCTGGGAGGATTATGATTCATATAAATATTTGATAGTATATATTCATGTACTGGTTACATATTGTAATGTTAACAGGTTCACTCGTGAGTACTTTAATTAAAGAGGAGATTTTTTATGAGCGTTTTGCCTCGTGGGTTAGGTAAACTTTTTGCATCGTAATCTGATGTTTATATTGTGAGAATGGTTGGCGATTGCTTAGTGCAACGCTAATTTATAAACCGTAGATCTATATTTTTGTCCTATGTCTAAGTGTCATCAGATGGTATAAAATCGCTATTTGTTTTACTATGTGTTTTTTGTATAAATCTTAATGAGAATACATTAGAAAGCCTGAAGGCAATTTTTATTTATCTCAAGGATCCAATAATAATGATGGAAAATGATAAAAATTTTGATCTACATAAATCACCTGGAAACACAATACGTTGGAGGCCAAGTGGTTTAAGTACATTTCAGTACTAATGGACCACTAGACAAGGTACGAATTTCAGCATTCTGATACATGTTTCTCAACCAAAACTTCACGTAGAACACGATACGCACAACGAAAATTACCAAAATCAACTCCTGACGAAGATATTTAATGATTCTTGATGCGTGAAATCAAACCACCCGCTCATGAAAACTCAATGCTCTACGTGATTCACATCGCGCGCTAAAGGTTTATCATGACAGTCTCTGCGATGTAAAAATCTTCAACTTCAATCTTGACACTTTGGCTCAGCTATAGCAAATTACCAATAGTTTGAACAACACATGGTGGAAAATGAATATTGCTCGATTGAGAAGCTTGCTGAAACCGTTGTAGCGCGCGATTTGACTCACGTAGAGCTTTGAGTTTCTTGTGAGCGGGCAGTTCAAATTCCTCGTAATCAGTGCGAAATAAAAACGTTAATATCTTCGTTAGAAGTTGATTTCGGTAATTTTCGTAGTGTGAATCGTGTTCTACGTGAAATTCTGGTTAAGAAACATGTATCAGATTGCTTAAATTCGTACCTTGTCTAGTGGTCCATTCTAGACTCGTACAACCACTCTTTCCTCTATGGTGGTAGGTAGTGATCAAACACACGTGCTTTGAGATCTTTTTATTATGAATATAAAAATTCAAGCATAATGATTCAGACACTCTTAGAAAAAAGGACCTTCAAGGGGCTGGAAGGACAAGGCGCATAAGTGCAGTTTTGGAAAAAATTGAGATATTAATGATTTCAAGTGAAACCAGTCTTATTGCATATTTTGTGAAAAATTCGCTCCCGAATTCCAATTTTTAAACATCAAAAAGTCAGTTTGAACTTTCTTTTCGCCATAAAGATCCATGTTATTTCAAAACTTCAAACACGTATTCCTCGAAATAGAAAAAACTGCACTTATGCGCCTTGTCCTCCAAGCCTCTTATTTAGTTTCTTTATTAAATTTTTAAATGTTACTCGTGTATCCTCACTTTTTCCCTTCATGTTTCAGATCAATCGAAAGGATTAAAAACTAAAGGTGCATTGCAAGAATATGAACAGGTAAATAATACATTATTTCATACTACGTCTAACGAAATAGATTTTTTACAATAGAAAAATTGGGTATAAGGCAAAAAATTTCGAAATAAATCCCCTAATTCTTAAAAGAAAAATTCTAATCATGGTGAGTTTTGAATAAAGTCTCAGGCGAAACCTCTGCGTAGCCTATTGAGCATAATGATAATACATATTATTATTGAAGAATTACAATGATTTATTTATATTAAATACACGAGGAGGCCAGGGAGGCGAAAGAAACGAAAAACAAGGCAGCCCAACAAACACCATAAATTTGAAAGTAGTAGGAGGAGCCTTCGTTTCAATTGCTTTTAGGAAGAACACATATTTTTAAGCGTGCCCTCTTAATTGCTGTTCACCCTTCCTCATAGAAACCTGGGTGCCGGGTTACCGAAGAGAACAGTCGTTTCAGAAATGAAATAAGAAATGCATCGTGTTATCTTACTTGCCGCCCATGGGCCGCCTGTATTTTGCCGCCCCCTTCTCATTCGTTTTGAAACATCATTAAAAACCATCAAGTTAACGTGCCGGAGGGGGCTGGGTGCACAAGACACGTTTATTCCTGTTGGACACATATTTTGCGAAAGCCCGGTCAACACTAGTAGCATAAATTCACAGAACTTGGCGCGAAAGTTAAGTTCCGTAAACCTATCTCTGTGTGGACAAGGCCCTCCCTTTATTAGAAATGAGCGAAAAAACTATGAAAGAGCAAACATAAATGTGGTTTAATCACTTTAACTTCCGCCGCGCCGCACTGACCGCACTGTGGCGATTGGCGCAATGTGTGAAGTATTCCGACAGTCTTGTAGGCGCTATGCGTTTCACGCTAGCCGCTGCTGGACGCACTGTGTTTGACGCAACGCGTGAAGTATTCATGCAGTCCTGTAGGCGCTATGCGTGTCACGCCGACCGCTGCTGCTGACCGCACTGTGTTTGACGCAATGCGTGAAGTATTCATGCAGTCTTGTAGGCGCTAATATTATGTGTTCCGTGCCGACCGCCGCGCGCCGCCGCGCCGATGCGATGGATTCTCCTTTTTATCTCAAGTCCTCGTCATCATTGCTCTCTGCGCTGCGCCGATCTAGGCCAAATAGCGTGTTTAGTTTCTCTCTTAACTCGACTAATTAAAGGTGCTGTCTCTTGTATCACAGGAAGACGACAAAATTAGAGATATACTCTCAGGAAATGATAGATTTTGTCGCCTTTTCTCGTTTGTAATTTTTTTCTGAATCCGATTTTTTCTTAATACCTAAATTTAAAAAAATTGCAAAATTTGACACTCCCTAAATTTGCTGCCATGGGAGGCGGCCCATGTGGCCACCTCCTAAATCCGGCCCTGCTTATAATGTTTGCTTGCAATCTTTCGTATTTCGTAAAATTGTCAATAACCTTTCAAAGGGGACGTACCCGAGTTGGCTCCCAAACGTCCGAATCGGCTCCCGTTTGAAAAAGGGTCCCCTCCCCTAAGGGTCGAGTTGGCTCCCGTTAGAAAAAGGGTCCCCTCCCCTGAGGGTCGAGGTGGCTCCCGTTTGAAATGAGTGGCGTGTGCGACGCGCCGCGCGTAAAGCGGCGGACACTAGGTGCGAAATGCATGAGATAAGTCTGAGAAATTAAGAGTGCTGAGGAGAAATCAGTTATCAGCAGTAACACTCACGCCCAAACAATGATTAGGTATTCGGCACTGGACGTTGTCACTTTGAAAAGCAACTGATTATTTTCAATGGAGAAAAAACTTGGAATTTTTTCGATGGAAAAAAGTATAAAATTAAAAAAAAAAAAA